ATAATCATGAATAAATTGAGCTTGTAACAAAAATAAATCAACCTGCCTTGAATGGAAGGTTTGAATCAGATGGTGTCATCCAAGATCAAAAAAAAAAAAAAACTACAATGAGAAAATATGCCTGCTGTAGTGGCTAAAGTTTTGAAAACCAACTGTACCAAGTGTTTGAAATAAGGTGAAGTAATTGGACTGTCACATTCTGCTTACTGGTAAAAAGATATAACCACTTTGGGAAACAGTTTGGCCACTTCTGAAGGCATCAAAAACACATTATCATATGAGTGAAGCCTTTTACTTGCAGGTTTTTACTCATCTACATACTCAGGAAAGCTGAGATCACTGGTCACTGATTCTCCAGTGCTTTCCCAGCAAAACTGGCTTATTCCACACGTACATTAAATAACTCTTGGCACCAAAGTGAGCCTACCTTTTCAGAATATTCAAATATCCTGTTTACATTTTCTTTTTCTATGAATAATGACTATACTACTATTTTTCAAGTGCCTTCTATGTGTAAGGTGCTACTAAATGTTATCATCAGCTTTCTGAAGATGAAACTGAGCTCAATGAGATTAAGCAGAAGGTCAAAGACTTCAGAGCTAGTAAGTTCAAAGCTAGGTCTCTATGAATTCAAAGTTTTTAACACCATATGCCATCATCTTTTGTATTAATTTCTTATTGCTGCTGTAACAAATCACCATGGACTTAAAGCCTTAAAGCTGCAATGTTCAACCAGGGTGCCACAAGAGGCACACTGGTGTGCCACAAAAATTTTTTCAAAACATGCAGCACCTGACTGTTTACTCAAGGGTATTGACCTTTTTTCCCTTAGATTGAAAATTTAAAAAAAAAAAACAACAACAACAGCCAACACAACAATAGTAGTGTGATGTGAATAAATCAAAAGTGTACCCATTTTTTTGTCAGATTGACCAAAAAAATTTTTTTGTGTGCCACAGAATTTTAGTAATTAGTTTATGTGTGCCATGAGATGAAAAAGTTTGAAAATTGCTGGCTTAAAGCAACAGAAATATATTCTCTTACAGTTCAGGGTGTCAAATCTAAAATGAGTCCACAGGGCTGTGTTCCTTCTGGAGGCTACAGGACAGAATCGGTTTCCTTGCTCTTCCTATCTTCCAGAGTCTGCCTATAGCCTTTGGGCTTGTGGTCCCTTTCCCTACCTTCAAAGCTAGCAATGCAGCATCCTCAAGTCTCTTTCTTTAGTCTCCTTTGACCCTTTGCATCCCTCTTATGAACACCTTTGTGATTATCTTTAAGGCTCACACAGGCAATCCAGGATAATCTTCCCATTCAAGATTCTTAATCACATTTGCAAAGCCCTATTGCAATGTTATGTAACATTCACAGGCTCCAGGGATTAGGGTGTGGATGTCTTTGGGAGCTCATTATTTAGCCTGCCACACATTTCTACATAGGTTTTCAAAATCATAGTTGAACTTGCTGAAGGAATCCATTACCATTAGGGTCCAGTTTGGTAGCAAATGGTTATAACCCAACAACCTGCAGTGTGTACCTTGAATATGACTAGAGAGAGTTAAAATATGTGCAGTATTTCAATATATGATCATGATAGAACAAATGACAGGAAGGAAGTAACTGGAGTTAGCATTTTCCATGCTTCTTGCATTATTGGGGAAATAATGGTTAATTACATGTTAATATGCTAAGAATGCATGTTCTTTATATGAACAATAAAAAGAATGTGTAACTAATAACATGATAAAATAACAATATAATAATAACTCTAATTGATAGTCACAAATAAGGCAAAATAGAAAAGAATAAAAATGTAAGACAGATTAAAAGCAAATAGTAAGATGGCAGCTCTGATCCCAAGTGTATCACCAATTATATTAAATATAAATAGATAACTTCACTCTAAAGACATAGATTGGCATACTGCTGCATTTCCCAAACTGAGGTACCCTGGGAGCTTCCATGAACTCACAGAGGACGTATGGGATATTTTAAGTTTTCAATGGAACCACAGAAATACTGAGGATCTGTCAGATACTGTGTAAACTACTAGCTCAGTGTTCTTCTGGGATACATTAGATTGCAGTAAGTTTTTCTTGATGACATCAGATCTTTGCAAAACTGTGTTTTCAGAAGTGGTTGTGAAAAAGAAGTACCAAATAAAGATTATATGGAAGGGGAAGTGATGTGGAAGTTTACAATCTGATGCCAAGGTTTGAGAATTTGAGCAGTATGCAACACCCCATTATAAAATTGTGGTGGGAACAAGACTTATTAAGTTGTTTGGACCTAAGTGTCTAACAAAGGGAACTGTTAAGTATTTCTTTTTTGACTAAGGATGACATGAAAAAATTACTGAGACCCTAAGAGTGCTGTGAACTGAGTGAATTTGGGAACCTCTATTATAATGAGTAAAAATAAAAACTATATGGTACATACAAAAAAAAAAACCAGTATACATGTTCAGAGAAAGAATGGATGACTATATAAGGATGGAAAACATACCATGGAAAAACAAACCAAAGAAAGATGTTTTTTTTAATTATTTTTTATTGTTAATGCTGTTACAGTTCCCGCATTTTCTTCCTTTCCCCACCTCCACCCAACCCCACCCTTTCCTGTCCCCCAAAGAAAGCTGTTATGACAAATGAGGAATTATGACAGTCTTTGTCTTTAAGTTATCATGTGTGTTTATATTTAAAATATGGTTGATATATTGAGGATTAAATCTAAAATACTATTTCTTTTCTAATTGTCTTATAAATAAAGCAGACAAAGTAGCATTGGAGGCAAAATTCATTACTAGACATAGTCTGCTACAAAATATATAAAAATAAAATAAAAATGGACAGAATTAGAAAAAGAAATAAGACAAATATACAATAAGATGGAATATTTTAACACCACTACTTTAGCATCTGGAACAATAAGCAGACCACCCCATCCCAAATTAGTAAGTATCCAGAAGATTTGGGAAAATATGATTAACTATTGATTTGGCCTCATTGGCATACCCAAAACACTGTGGTAGTGGGTATACTACCATAGACACACCCTTTTTACAAACACGTATGATACGTTACATCAGTTGACCAGATGCTGAGACATACAAGTGTCAATCAATTTCAAAACTCTACAACAAATCTGCAGCTAAAAATTGCCTCAGCCTTGACTGGCATGGCTCAGTTGTTTGAGCATCTGTCCCTGAAAGGAAAGCGTCACCAGTTTGATTCCCAATCAGGGCACATGCTTGGGTTGCTGACCCAGTCCTTGGTTGGGGCATCTGGGAGGGCGACCGGTTGATGTTTCTCTTCCACATCAATGTTTTGCTCCCTCTCTTTCTCGATCCCTTCCACTTTCTCTGAAAATAAAACATAAATTAATAAAATCTTGAAAATGTCCTCAAATGTTTGTAAATTGTGCAAAAACATTGCTAAATAAGCCATGAGTCAAGAAGAAATCACAGTGGCCATTTCCAAATATCTTGAATAGATAAAACTGAAATTATGCAGTTGTACACTGGAAACCTATCCTCAGAATAAAATAATAACCTGAATACTTACTCTAGAAATTATGAAAAACTGAAAATAAAAGATATCTAAGTTACCATATTAAGAAATTTACTTTTAGCCCTGGCTGGCATAACTCAGTGGATTGAGCGCGGGCTGCGAACCAAAGTGTCACAGGTTTGACCCCGGTCAGGGTACATGCCTGGGTTGCAGGCCATGACCCCCAGCAACTGCACATTGATATTTCTCTCTCTCTCTTTCTCCCTCCCTTCCCTCTCTAGAAAATAAATAAATAAAATCTTAAAAAAAAAGAAATTTACTTTTTATCGAGCTCAGGAAATAAACTCAAGAAAATATCAGTAAAGATGAAATAAAGATAAGAGCAAATTGATAAGTCCAGAAGTTGATTATTTAAACCCTAATAAAATTAAGTGATCAGTCTCAATCTACCCTCCATTATTTGAATTAATTAATAGAGTGTGTAGGGAGAAACAGAAGATTAATCAAAATGGAAGAGAACATATTTCTAAATTTCTAGAAATATGTAACATATTTCTAATGTAAAATGATACTTTTCCAACAAATATTTCTTCCTGATTACATGTTTAACTCTAAGTGATATTTTATTATTTTAACTTAAACTTTTTAGGTCTTAAGGGGAAATAATTTAGTCTAATATTTAATTCAAGATATGCATTATAAAATATATGCCCTCATAATATATAGCTTTAGCTATAGTTCTTGAGCTTTGTATACAAAGCCTGTGCTGAATTTTCCTTTGCTGAAGTAATTGGCTTGGCAACATCATTTAACAGTTGTGACCGCTATTGAAGCCCAGAGAAGAGGCTTACAGTCCCATTAGTTTTGGGCCTACTGAGAGTGAAGATGGATGGTGAAGTGCATGAGTGCTTCTTATAACACAAGAGGATGGAATAGATGAAGCTAGAGCCTAGGACTTCCTGACTGACTAAAATGTGAAGCTGTAAATTAATTTCCCCTTCAATGAAAGAATAAATAGATTAGATATATAGACACAGATGAAATAGATTATAGATAGATAGGGATATGGATATATAGATATATCTTAATTGCCTTCAAAATAGCATGAATGTTTATTAATTTGAGAGAGAAACAGAGAGAGGCATCAGTATGAGACAGAAACATTGATGGATTACCTCCCATGTGCACCCTGACCAGAGATCGAACCCACAACCTAGGTAAGTGCCCTGTCTGGGGATAGAACCTGCAAACTTTTGGTGTATGGGAAGACACTCCAACCAACTGAGCCACGCATCTGGGGTCAGCATGGACTTTTTAAATGGGTAGATATTGATTTAAAAAGCTCATTTCTAAAGTTACTGCTAAGGGAAACAATCCTTTCACCATTATTAAGGTGTTCATTTTCTTCTTTGATCATGTCTTTGAAGTATATTGGAGAAAAGATGAAGTGGAGTGGAAGTTCCTCTGTTGACTTTGATGTCACTGTGATCTTGATCTTCAGGTCAATGCAGCCCCCCAGCCTATTTTGAAACAGCCAAGCCTACAAGACCAATTAGTGCATATGAGTTTCCCATTGGAACATCTTTGCAGTATGAATGCCGCCCTGGTTTCCAGAAGAGAAGTTTCTTTATCACCTGCCTAGAAAACTCAGTCTGGTCAAAACCTAGTCAAAACTGTTCACGTAAGTAACTCTGGACTGAGAACTCCTCTGTATCAGTTAAACATCCATAAGATCTATGAGGTTGTTCAAATTTTGGAACTAAGGCACCTATGACTTGATTAATTGCCCTAGTAGTAGCAGATATGAGTGTTATTCCTGTACGTCATAGCTTCCTATTGCTTTGAGTGCCTGGTACTTTCATTACAAGTTCATTGCTTGAGAAGCTATCATTATAAGGCACAATCAAGGGAAAAAAAAACTCTATTTAATAGGATCTTTGCTATTTCACAACTAAAATTAAAGGGAAGGAAAGAAAAGTGCAGACAAGGACAAAAGCCCTGATGCTGAGACCTTTACACTGGTTGAGTCACAGAGTAAACAAATAAAGTTTACATTTTTCTGGGGGGCACTGGTGGGAAAGAGACAGAACTGGAAGAGGGGTGCTTTTTGAAAGTGGCAGTCTTATGAAATTCCCCAATATGGTAAAATCACTGGAACTACAAATGTTCTTCAATAAGTTACAGCCAGATTGGGTTTTTATGTACAAAGAGAAGTTCAGAGTACTCTGCACCCAGTCCCCAAATTCTTCTTCTTTCCCACAGGTAAATCATGTGGATCTCCTCAAGAACCCATAAATGGCAAAATGGAAATAACTGGAGGCACCCAGTTTGGATCAATTATTAATTACTCTTGTAATGAAGGGTGAGTTGGCAGTAGCATTTTTGGAGGGTGACAGCTCAAAAATTATAACACCAATCTCTAAACAATAGTATTAGATAGGAGAGTTAAATGACCTGTCTGTTAAAAACATAGTGATACAATTCATAAGTGGAGGTGGTGGCTTCAATCCAAGCACTTAACTGCACTTACAATGATTAAACAAATCTTTCAAAATAAGAAAAATTTGTATCCTAGCTAGAAAATTGGGGGGTGCGTGTAGCACATCAAATGAATGTGCCTAAAACCAAATGAAGCATTCATTATATGGGGAGGACCAGCTCTCCAAAAAAGTGAATGGAGCAAACACTAGTTGACCCACAAATATATTCTTATCTCAAAGCATCAGGAGCTGGAGATGGTGGATTCAGGGGCAAGTGGGAAAGAGTAATTTGTTTAGGATGATGGAGCAGATGTGGGGGATGGGCAAATATAATTTTATAGCACCTGTCCAGAAGTGGTCACAGTGTGATGACTTGCTGGGGACATATTCTTGGCTGATCCTTAGGAAAAACAACCAATTTAGGAAAGAAGTGGGGAGACTGCTTTACTTTATATCTTATCTTTTGCTTTATTTTTTGCTTACTAACAATACATACAAAGTAACATAAGAGAAAAATTAAAATAGCAACAATAAAATAAACCTCATTGTATAAACTACTCACCATAAGAAACAATACTAGCACCTTTGTAATCTCTTGTGTTCCCTTCCCAATTCTCATTTCTCCACCTCTAGCACCTCTCCAGAAGTAACCACCATTCTGAATTTTATGTTTGTCATCCCTTGGTGTTTCTTTCTGATTTTCTCCCAGGCATAATTCTAATCAGTGTATTTTTAGCTTTATATAATAGCATGATGTTATATGTACCTGCAACTTGCTTTTTTATTTAACAGTTTCTTTCTGACACTCACCCATGTGGTAGTAGTGGCTAATTCATTTTCACTTTGGGTGGTATCCTCTTGTATGGATATACCACAACTTCTTTATTTGTTCTTGGTTGTTTGTTAGAGATTGTATTCTTTTGACTTTGTTTTATTTTGGCTATTATAAGCATTCCAGATATAAACATACTTACATGTGTCTCCTAAAACAGATATGCAAAAGTTTCTCGAAGACAGTGGTTTTCTAGTTTATTACCATGATCCACAGCTAAGAAATATATTTCTACAACATATTGCATTAGAGGTTCTAGCCAGGACAATTGGGTAAGAAAAAGAAAAAAATGACATCCAGATGATACAGAAGAATTAAAATAATCTCTGTTAACAATTGGCATGCTTTGTAACTCAAAAAAATTCAAGAAGGAAGATTCTCAAATTCTTTTTATGAGTCTAGTGTTATTTTCATCCTAAAGCCAGGTAAAGACACAAGAAAGAAAGAAAATTATAGGCCATTTTCTCTTATGAACATAGATGCTAAAATCCTCAACAAAATATTGACAATTCAGATCCAGCAATACATTAAACAGATCATACCCCCATGATTAAGTGAGATTTATCCCAGGGATGCAAGGATGGTATAACATTTACAAGTCAATAAGTGTAATATGTCATATAAACAAAATGAAAAATAAAAATCACATGGTCATATCAATGGATGATAAAAAAGTATTTGATAAAATCCAGCACCCATTTAATGATAAAAACACTCAGCAAAGTGGGAATAGAGGGAGCATACCTCAGCATAATAAAGGCCATATATAAAAAACCTACAGCAAACATCATATTCAATGGGCAAAAACTAAAAGTCCTTCCCTTAAATCAGGAACTAGACAAGGGTACCCACTTTCACCACTATTACTCAATGTAGTATTGGAAGATCTAACCACAGTGATTACTCAAGAAAAAGAAATAAAAGACATCCAAATTGGAAAGGAGGAAGTAAAACTGTCATTATTTGCAGATGACATGATAGTATACATAGAAATCCCCTATAGTTTCCACTAAAAAACTACGTGACCCAGTAAGTGAATTCAGCAAAGTGACAGGACACAAAGTGGATATTCAGAAATTGATAGCATTATTATACACCAAAAGTTAATTATCAGAAAGAAAAACTAAGAAAAAAATCCCATTTACTATAGCAACAAGTAAAATAAAGTACTTAGGAATAAGTTTAACCAAGGATGTACAAAGCAAGACCTGTACTTGGAAAATAATGGAACATGAAAAAAGGTATTGAGGAAGATACAAATAAATGGAAGTATATACCATTTTAATGGACTGGAAAAGTTAACATCATTAAAATGTTCAAACTAGCAAAGCAATCTATAGATTCAGCACACTTCTTATTAAAATACCAATAGCATATTTCACAGATCAAGAATAAGTATTCAAAAAATTTACATTGAAACAAACAAACAAACAAAAAACAAATGGCCTCAGGAATACTGAGAAAGAACAGAAAAGTTTCAGGGATCACAATACCTCATATCAAACTATACTACAAGGCCACTGTAATCAAGACAGTCTGGTACTGGCATAAGAACAGACACATAAAACAATGGAGCAGAATAGAGAGCCCAGAAATAAACCCATGTCTCTATGGTCAATTAATATTTGACAAAAGGGGCATGAGCATAAATGGAGTAAAAACAGTTTCTTCAATAAGTGGTGTTGGGAGAACTGGACTGGAACATGCAAAAAAATGAAACTAGACCACCAACTTCCACCATGTACCAGAATAAGCTCAAAATGGATAAAGGATTTAAACATGGCTCATGATACCATAAAAGACCTAGTGGGAAACAGGCAGCAAAATTTCAGACATCCCATGAAGAAATATTTTTGCCAATGTATCTCCCAGAGCAAGAGAGATAAAGGGGAAAAATAAAAAAATGGGTATTACATCAAATTGAAATGGTTCTGCATAGCCCTGGCTGATGTGGCTCAGTGGATTGAGTGCCTGCTTGAGAAGAAAAGGTAGCTGGTGTGATTACCAGTCAGGGCTCATGCCTGGGTTGTGGGTCAGGACCCCAGTAGGGGGTGCAGGAGAGGCAACTACACACTGAAGTGTCTTTCCCTCTCTTTGTCCTTCCTTTCCCTTCTCTCTAAAAGTAAAATAAATAAAATCTTTTTTATTTTTATTTTTATTTATTTTTTATTGTTCAAGTATAGTTGTCTCAATTTCCCGCCCCCCACCATTCTTCCCTGTCCCACCCTGCATCTTACCCCCCTTTGGCTGTGTCCATGTGTCCTTTATACACGTTCCTTGACAATCCTTCCCCTTTATTCCCCCATTGTGCCCCTTCCCCACCCCTCTGGTTACTGTCAGCTTGTTCTTTATTTCAATGTCTCAGGTTATATTTTGCTTGCTTGTTTGTTTTGTTGATCACTTGACTTTTAAATATTGTTTTACTATGCAAAAAACTTACTAAACTATCTTTTGAGTTATGATATTTTAACTATAGAATCTTTTTGATTTTTTATAAGTATAACCATAAATTCAAATAAGAACAATTTCATTTATTTCTTTTCAGTTCTTGCTCCTTTTATTTCTTTGGTCTTGCATTTTTGTACTGTCTGAGACCTCCACAAAGCTGATAGTAGGCAGTTTGTCTCATTCTCAGTCCCTAGGAGAAAGCTTTCAATGACTCAACACTGAATATGATGTTTGCTGTAGGATTTTTCTACATATCCTTTTTTAAAATTGTAGTCTTAATTTGCTAAACTTTTTATTTTGAATGCATTTTGAATTATATTAACCATATTTTCTGTATTGTTAGAGATGATATGACTTTTCTCCTTCAATCTGTTACTATGATAAATTGCATTAACAGATTAAACATTGTATCTGTCAGGAAACCAACTTGGTCTGAAAGTATAATGAATATTTTGTTCTATATTGCTAGATTTGTTTTACAATATTTTGATTAAAATCTTTTCCTTTCATGCTTAGCGTGTGATAGACCTAATAATCTTCACTTCTTATACTGTGCTTGTCTAGCTTTACAGGAAATTTATCTTTATACAATCAGCAAAGTGTGTTCTTTTCTAAAACAGGCTTGATCTATCAAACCTTATTTAGTCATTTTTTCCTTTTAAATATATTTTATTGATTATGCTATTACAGTTGACCCATTTGTCCCATCTTTATTCCTCTCTGCCCTTCACACCTCCTCCCATCTTCACCCCCCCCCTTTAGTTTATGTACATGCATTGTACATATAAGTTCTTTGGCTTTTACATTTCCTATACTATTCTTAACCTTCCCTTGTCTATTTTGTACCTACCATGTATCCTTCTTATTCACTATACCTTTTCCCCTGTTCTCCCCACTCCCCATCCCTGCTGATAACCCTCCATGTGATTTCCATTTCTGTGATTCTGTTCCTGTTCTAGTTGTTTGCTTAGTTTGTATTTGTTTTCTGAGGTTCAGTTATTGATAGTGGTGAGTTTATTGTCAGTTTACTCTTCTTTCTCTTACATAAGTCCCTTTCCCATTTGATGTAATAAGGGTTTGGTGATGATGAACTCCTTTAACTTGACCTTATCTGGGAAGCACTTTATCTGCCCTTCCATTCTAAATGATAGCTCTGCTGCATAGAGTCATCTTGGATGTAGGTACTTGCCTTTCATGGCTCTGAATACTTCCTTCTAACTCTTTCTTGCCTGTAAGGTTTCTTTTGAGAAATCAGCTGATGGTCTTATGGGAATTCCTTTGTAGGTAACTGTCTCCATTTCTCTTCTCTCATCTTGCTTTTAAGATTCTCTCTTTCTCTTTAATCTTGGGTAATGTAATTATGATGTGCCTTGGGACTCTCTCAACTTCTTGGACTTCCTGGAAGTCTATTTTCTTTGCCAGATTGGAGAAACTCTCCTTCATTATATTTTCAAATTCTTGCTCTTCCTCTTCTCCTTCTGGCACTCCTATGATTTGGATGTTGGAACATTTCAAGTTGCCCCAGAGGTTCCCAAGCCTCTCCTCCTATTTTTGAATTCTTGTTTCTTTATTCTGTTCCATTTGAACATTTTTTTTCTTCCT